AATATATATATATACTATCATATATATATATATATTATATATATATATATATGTTGTGTGTGGTGTGTGTGTGTGTGTGTGTGGCGCGCGTATGTGCAATATATACATATTATATTATATAATATAATACTAATGTCTATGTAATGAACTTATAAAGATATATATATCTATATAGTCCCTATTATATACTGTGTTTGTTGTGTGTGTGTGTTGTGTGTGTGCGTGTTGTGTGTGTGTTATTGTGTGTGGTGTGTGTGTGTGTTTTGTGTGTGTGTGTGTTGTGTGTGTGTGTGTGTTCTGTGTGTGTGTGTGTGTGTGTGTGCGTATGTGTCTGTGTGTGTGTGTGCTGTGTGTGTGTGTGTGTGTTGTGTGTGTGTGTGTGTGTGTTGGTGTGTGTGTGTGTGTGTGTGCTGTGTGTGTGAGTGTGTGGCGTGTGTGTGTGTGGGCATAAAATATAGTACTCGCGGCACTCGTAATTATTTAAAAGGTATGTTGTTCTGAATGTGCACAATTAGAGAGCGGGAGACGCCTGGCCATTTCTCTGCACGCTTAACATTTACTGTATAAAGTGTCAATAGTGCCTAACTCATGCCTGGTACATGTCAAAATAAAAACTGACCGAAATGTGCGCTAAAACTATAAACCACATCATAACGCAAGATTGTTAATTAATAATGTTAATTAAATGGTGCTTTATGCTGTGCCCACAATATACCCAGTTTATTATAAAATAAATTACTTATGGTGTCAAAACCATGGACTGGAGCATATAGGACATGCATTCAAGAGGTTTTCAATAATGTGGATCTGAATGTGCTCAATTAGAGGAGCAAAAGTCCTATATATATATATATACCTTTCAGCCGTCCGCCTCTGATTCACTCGTATTCCTCACCCCTTTATATTTCAAAATCTGGCCGCCGTGCCTGCGGCGTGTGTGGCGTCGCGTGTAACACGTAAATGTTGCGGGTTACCCAGGCAACCATGCAGCCGCATCTTCTCTCCGACGACGCAGTCACATGGTAAGAATATGTTATTGTGTGATGTGTGTAACATTGGGTTGCCCGGGCAACCATGCATCAGCATCTTTCTCCCTGATGACGCAGTCACATGGTAAAAATATGTCATTTTCACAAAGTGTAATATAGGGTTGCCGAGGCAATTAGCATTATCTCTCTCCGTCTATGCAGGCACGGGTATAGGAGGCACACAACAGTAGCCTTCCGACAATCATTCACCGTTGCAATATTTCGTCGTTTTTAAACATTTTTGTGTGTGGTAATATTAGCACGCATAGGTACGCCACGCACGCAAAGTAGATGCCCAATGGACGCCTAGAAAGCATGAAAATTGAGCTATGGTGACTGGTCCGCCGATTTCGTGTTTGAAACGGAATCTGAATACTTGCTGGAAAGACGCATCATTTAGCTAGCAAAGGTAGCATTTAGCTAGCAAAGGTTTCGAGCGGAGTCTGTTGTTAGCATGAGTAAAGTGTATGTTTAGTATGCATCGAAACTCTCTGAGAATTTTTTATTAATTTCTATTCGATGCTCATTCAGACCTGCTTGCCTATATGCATAGGCACCGTCTACTTTTGTACACACAGAAATAATATACTAGTTCGACTACCGTCTCTATATATTTCTATGGTTGCAAAATACCTTAAAGGGCTGATAATCACGATCACCACGTGACGCTTACTATTGGGTTACTCAAACCACGGCAGGCATCATCGCTCCCTGGCGATGGAGTGAGACGGTATCAAGGCCCGCGGTAGCGATCACGTGACGCGTTGCGTGAATCAACAGAGCACGCGTCCGAGCTTTGCGTCGCGCTTGTCATGCAGATTTGTCCGTGCCGCGCTGTGCGGCGTGACACTGCGACCTAATTAGACGGATAAAGTGACCCATGTTCGCGCCGGAGACAAGGTGATGTTCAGCATTGACTGTCGCCAGCGTAGTACTTGCTCCGCGCGGCGGATGTGTTGACTGTCGTCAAGCGTCACGTTTGCTGTTGTGGGTTTGTGGTGTGCGTATGTGGGTGGGGGTGGTGTGGGAGATAGGGGGAGGGGGAGCCGGACAGACGCGGGGTCTAGCGTGGCTGTGTGCCTGTTGACACTGAGTCACGGCTTAGCCACGCCGCTCAGCGCGACGGCGGACGCACTGTCAGCGACGAATATTTACCGGCCTGTGTAAATAACTGCACGTGTTTGCTGCTATTCGTATGTCTGCACGGGCACAGCGACGCGTGCGTCCGTGCATGTGCACGCGTCCGTGCATGTGCGTTTATGTGAGCGCGCGCGTATCGGGCGTGGGTGCGTTGGCGCGTGGGTGCGTGTGTGCGGGTGCGCGTGCGTCCGCGGTGCATGCATGAGTGTATCTGTGTGTATACTTTGCGTATAGGACAAAGGCAGGCTTATATGACTCGTCATGCATAGACAACGGCACGCCAGGTGATGGAGCGCGCCAGCTGATATATCTACTATAACACTATATATAGATCGATTATACATGAAGACCACTGCTCAGCGATATAGAACACATTGTTCATCCCATTCTCATCAGCAGTTGAGAGGCAGACCGAGCAGGAGCAGACAGAGAACGGGGAGAAAGCCCGCCCCCCCCCACTCCGAGGTCGGAAGGACTGAGTGAGAGAGCGAGAGAGCGAGAGAGACGGAGAGACGGGGAGGGAGAGACGGGGAAGTAAAGAGCGGTGCGTGCCTTTGTTGCGGTTCGCGTGAATGGCTCCACGCAGATGACGGATTGCCGGTGGTAGCTAACGGCTGGGAGCTAGTGAGATACATAGCGGTAGCGCTCCCCTCCTACTCCGTTACTGCTCGGTGTTAGCCGGCCGATGTCTACTACATTGCCGAATTATAAACTCATCCGCAAAAAAGGAGAGGGCGAGAGAGAGAGAGAGGTGAGATCGAAAGAATGGCAGAAGTAGTCTTTAAATCGAAAGGCGGCGCGAGAGTAAATAAGAAATTACAGGGGGACGAAACAGCGCGAATGTAAGCGAGTGAAGTGGAGTAGCTGGAGCCACGGGACGGGGTATGGAAGACTACGTATGCAGCCAGCCAGGGCCGTGACTTCCGATGACTCATGCCGTCACTCATTGACATGTCAAAGGTGTATAAATGGCAGAATTTCGGCGACTAACCGACGCGGGTGACGTCATTGCAGCGGAAACGTCGGCCGTTAATGCGCCGTCGGATTAATGCGCCGTCAGATGCCGACGTAATGACGAAGTCGTCTCCTGTCTGTTCCGGCGACGTCTGGTGTGTAGATTGGTAGACTGGCCCAGCAAACGAGAAAGAGATGGAGAGAGCGCACGAGAGAGATATCGGGAGGGGAAAGAGCGAAAGAGAGAAACGAGGAGCGAATGAGCCACCGCAGGCGAGAAAGGGGAGGAAATAGAGAGCGGCGGGGATAAGAATGGGGGAAGATGCAGAAAGCGATGAAGAGAGGGTGGGCGAGGAATGGAGCGAGCAGGAGCAGCGGTGGGTGATATATATAATTACACGAGCATAAAACTATCTAGCGGTTTCTACTTACTCACCGACAAAAGAAGGAGGCGAAGGGATGGAGCTAAACCATTCCTTTGTGTCTCCACAAGAGTGTTGTTCTACACTGCAGTTGGTTCGCTAACAAATTGACCATGACTGGATTAGCATCTCTGCTGTGATTGCCGTGAGCATTGTATAAGAACGCCGAGGTATTGGCATATTAACTCAAGTGTATTTAACCTGAGGGTAATTCAGTACCCAATGGAGATGAGTCAGGCTTTTCCAGCTGGTAATGAGGTGGCACCACTGTTAAAACAATGATTAACTCTACACAGGGGCTGTTACACCGACACGAGCGTGGAACATGCACTCTATTTCTTCCTCTTCTCTTCCTCCTCTCTTATTATTCTTCATCTTCTTGTAATAATTTACGCTCTTGCGGTTTTCTTCTTCCTTGTTGTTCTTCGACGTCGTCATCGTCTTCGTCTTCCTCTTGTTATTGTTGTCGTCGTCGTTGTTGCTGTTGTTGTTTTCGGCATCGCTATTGTTGATCTCTTTCCTATCCATCCAATTTGTTATCATTGTGATTGTTTTCTTATTAATTACATTTTCATTTATTAGGGATAACTATTATAGGGATGGACGATTACCTGCATTACCCTCTATCATGTATGATCGCAACAAGCACGCCATATGAGCCAGCCCGATGAAACGCCGTACCTATAACGATTTATCCACTACAGAAATACCCGCACGGACTACACGAGACGATGTCACCTACCATACTAGCTCTACCGGTGTTGCCCTTTCGCTCCCGCTACAGGGTGGCGACGTGGCTGCACCGGTAGAGCCACGATCACACGAAGCAGAATTCACGTGCGAAAGTGACCTCCGGCTTTAAAATTTAAATGTCTAGCTACAGATATGACGACGATAGATAAGCCTCGATGTACGGCTCGCTTGCCTGCACTTGTCCTAGCTCTAACATAGACTAGTGGCGACCCCTGCACGCGACATCTGACCAATACGCCCTTTCTTTTGCTTACATGCACTAGTGTTGTGACGCCTATAAAGCTCCCGTCTTCTGATCAAAGTAGTTAGAACTTAGCACGGGATCCGCGCTTGCATGCAGAGGGGAATTCATAAATGTGCAAATAGCCATCACTAATTGTCTATATGTAGACAAAAACTTTTGCCGAAAGAAATGTTATAAAAAGGTGCATAATTAATCAATTGCACACGTTCCAGTGCCTACCGTATGAGCGGCCCAAACCTGACTCCATCGATATAAAGAGATGCCGACTGCTAATTTAAAATTATGTATAACTGCACTGTTTTACTTTGTGTTTACTTTTAGATCTATACTAGATGGTTTGTTACAATGATCACATAAACCGATTTTTTACATCAGTAAAAGTGGGAAAGAATATTCTGAAAAAGTGTACACAATATGCCACAGAGAACCCATACAAATATCCATTTATAAAACAGGAGATAAAAATAAGCATTTATTAATCACGATGCATTGCCACACTTGTGGGTGAATTCATCTATACTGTTACACCACTTTGTTTCGTATTCAGTCTTTACTCTCTAACGACTAACATGCAAAACGTATTCTCAGATTGACAAACATGGAAGACATCATATAAACAGTTCACTTCTTTCACTAAAGTGTGGGAGGGGGAATTGACAATTTGCCTATAATTTATATGTATAAAGACAAGACAGTATGTTCAGTGCAACCAATGATAGAGATGATTGCTTGTGTTTGAAGATCACTGATCTTGCTGCTAATGCTGCTGATGCAAATCCACCTTCACTCGGCACACTGGACATGTGGCTTGACACTGAAATGACATCGAAAAATATAAATACACGTTAGAACAGGTTTCCCATCGCCTTCTGTGTATCTTATTATACGTTACTAAAAAGTAAGTTTCAGCATTATCACAAATTTATGTTATTATATGTTATCTAACTGGCAACTCCTTAGACGGGCACCACCCATCAGTTAGCCTCACGGATAGTAACAGACACAGCTGCCAGTCTCCCAACTGATGGGTGCAGGCACAGGCGCCACCTACCTCGAGCCACGTGTCGATGCAGGTAGCATGGAAACAGTGCAGGCAAGGCAGCCGGCGCAGCTGCTCGCCGCCACGGTAACGCTCCATGCAGATGCTGCAATCGCTGGCGGCGACGGCCGTGGCGCCCCCTGGCGGCTCGGTGTAGGCGTGCGTCGGCAGCTGTTCGATCTCGCGCAGGGAGAGGCCGCGATGGACAGCGTCACCTAGCTGTTCCGACAGCTGCCACAGCTCCTGTAAGGAACACACACACACACACGCGTGGTGAGATTACTCTCTATCTCTCATAAACGCGGTGATGCTGGAAGGGTGGGCGCAATGTGGAAAATATACACATATGCACTCATACAGACCCGCACGCACGCACACACTCACACACACACACACACACACACGTTGTTGGAATTAAATCTTTATCACTCATCAACGCGGTGAAGCTAGGTGGGTGGGAGCAACGTTAAAAATATACACATACGCATGCATGCACACACGAACACATACGCACGCATGCACACACGAACACATACGCACGCATGCACACACGAACACATACGCACGCATGCACGCGCACACATGCACGCGCACACACACACAGTAAGGTTAATCTCTATCACTCATCAATGTAACGACGTTAGGTCGGGGGAAGAAATTATATTGCAGCTATGCCATTCACGCATACCTCGTAGCTGTTGCCTGTGCTCCATGAGTCATTCAGCTGCGTTCTAGATGACACCCCTCCTCTCTGCTGCCTTCTCCTTCCTCTCCTGCCACGACGCGCAGGCTGGGATGCCAAGCCAGCAGCCGTCTCATAGGAATCGAATCCTGGAAGGATATCTGAAATCGGCAATCAAATGCGTAATGCAGTAAGAATTCATAACCAAACATTTCCTAAAACATCGCCCAACGCAGCCACAAATTACAATCCAAAACTCATTGCCAAAGCATAACCCCAATGCAGTATGCTTCCAAAAACAAAACGCATAAACTGGTGGAAAAATCGCATTCAGCTATCTGTTGATATGTTAACCACCAAGAACTGATGCAAGCGCAGCAGCTACCCGAACAAGATTTTGACTTGAAATGGGCAGAGAAGTCATATTAAAGTAACTATTGCGAGAGTTTTCCAGTGTTTTCACCACTTTCATGACACCTACCGTTATTGCTTGAGTAACACTAACAGCAATTGTCTAGAGTAACAATAAAATGTCTTAGAACCTTCGTATTCACCAAAAAAGTGCCAGTTTCGAACTACTCGTTTTTGTAAACTATCGTTTCCTGTCATCTTGATACTGCCGGAAGCATGGATTAGCTTGTGGCGCCAACGCTTTATCTGCTGTAGACATAGTACAGGCTCTCTCAAATCATGCACTTGTTTTCAATTCATTACCGACACAAATACAAGTTTACCAATTCTGCCACTATAGGCATTATCGGCATACGATAAAATTTATTGCTGTTACGATGTGGTCAAATCCATTTTTCTATGCTATAACTGCATAAAATCTTAGTACTTTTAATGTTGGTGTAATCAGTTATATTTCCGCTGTCAGCTGAGACTATATTCAGCTATATTTAGTTTTTCTGAGCAAAAATCTCGCAATAGTTAGTTTAAGGAGAGCAGGATTCTGCTCACTGGCATTCTTACCTGCTAATACAAAACCCCACTTCCCACTAATATAAAACCTGGCCAAGTTTTATCAAGGGGATTGGCTGCTAGAATAACGAAATTCGCTTACAGTTACATCAGTCCACCACATCACTTTCGCATTGTATGTATGTTTATAATGCGGGCAGATATCTTACACATGAATACCGCTTCACAAGCACATGCATATTATATATATGTTATAAGCATTCACTAGACTATACCTAGATATGGAGCTCCTAATTCGACAGGAGGTATTCCAAACGCATGACTCTGATGCTGTAAAAAGAGGAAACAAAGCTTAAAGGTAATGCAATCCCGTAAAAAAAACTTAAAAAAGCTTAACCTTCAAAAAGCTTAAACTTAAAAAAGCTTAAAGGTAATGCAATCACTCCCGTATTAATACTAGAAACTATGAAAGACTGAAAAACCGTATATTTATTCGTTGCTAATTTCCTTTTCGTAATCTCCTAATGTGATTTTGCTAATCAACTCGGGCATTTACATAACTAGCTACATACCATGTGTGAGGCAATCGATTCGTGCTGCAGATCTTGCTGCTGCTCCTGCAGCATGCCCAAAGCTTCTTCAGACGCAAGGTCATTTGCCATTTCTGCATCTAGTGCCTCCTGTATAAAAAAAACCCACGTAAAGTGAAAAGTTAAAATACTAGCGCGTCACATTGCTGTCTTGTGCCCTCCAGAGCTCATCATAATATTCTTGTTACATGACACAGAGTGCATTGTGATGATCTGAGATCATGCAAACTCTATATCAGGTTATTTATCGTGTATCACATTCCTGCTATAAAGAGCAGCACGACGAAATACTCACTCCATGCAGTGAAATTACAACGACTTGTCGACTTACCTGCAGGCGTCTGGCGACTTCCTCATCGGTCTGTATCTGCTGAACGTGAGAGCCTCTGCTGCTGATACGTCTGCGACTCTGTGCCTTGTCTCTCAACCAGGCGCTGCAACAACAAACACACGCAGAGCTTTACTTACACACATGACAGTTCACAGTGGTGGCTTTCATATTACAAGTTGACAGTCAGTGTTTCGCTTCACCTGTCGATGCACACACATGTAGAGACATACGCACCTGTGCTCCGGGTCGCATGCAATCACCTCTGGGCTCTGTGGCATTCTGTGTGGTGTGTCCAGGCAGATAATCCCCTCATCGTCCACAAAGGTGTGGTCATTAATACATGAAGCTATCCCTGAGAATATAAATGCACATTCGTACATAAGGAAATCATCTCACTGCCTCGCCCTGCTCTCATAAACGTTTTCTTGGAAGGATAATGATAGGATTAGTAGGTATTTGTTAGTAATGAAGTAAAGGTTAACAGTTAGCTCATTGAATGATATCAGCACCTTACTAATTATTACCTCTGGCTCTCCTTGTCTCTTCTTTCCTGTGTTGTTTACTGCTTTTTCGTGCTGCTTTAGGTGCAACACTGTGACTGACATGTAGTACTTCAACACTGCTGGATTGTGCAGCACTGTTAGGCTGCCCCACACCAGTGCTGGACGGAATTGCAATACTGCTCGGCTGCACTGCAACACTGGTAGCCTGAATCGATGCGTCATTAGGCTGCAACGCAGTTCTGATTTGTGGACCTGCAATGATGTCACGCTCCTGTCGTTCACTTTCAATACCACTAGGCTCCAAATCGGGATGGTTAGATTGCACGTCTGTAATCGTGGATTGCACTGCTATTCCCATGGGCTGCTCATCTGCTCTGAGTGGCTCTACAACTACCGCCCCGCACTGCACAGCTGTACTGCTGGGCTGGGCATCTATATTTCTATGCTGCATATCTGCCGGTACAGGAGTCACATCTGCACAGCCAGCAGTCGGCACATCCGCATCGCCGGGCTGCGCGGCAACATCGACGCTATTCGCGATGCCCGTGTTGCTAGGTGCCTTATCTACTGACACTGTTCTCGCCTCAGTCGTCTGCCTGCACGCATCCATCGCCGGTTGCTGCGAGTGACAGCCGGACACTGACAGTGACAGCGACCTGCTGCCACTAGCGTGCCGATCGTCGCCGGCCCCGGAGACAGGACGGCGATTCCTAACACTGATTGCGCGACCATCTGACGCCACCGCCTCTCCGTCGCTGAATAGTAAGTCAACGATGACGGGAGAAGTCTCGCTGAGGGGAGAAGGCGAGCGTTGATGGAGGTTCAGCTCGGCTGCGACGCGGCGTACACGCGAGGCGCGCGTGGACGGACGCACGGTGCGCGTAGCTTGACGGGCGCACCCTGTGCTGCAGTCAAGATCACGGTCACGAACGCCGGCAGCAGCAGCAGCAGTGGTGTTACGACGATGGGTCATCCCGCGGGCTTCACGAGACGCATCGTGTCCCGTTCGCCGCCGCACGTCTCTTCCGTCTGCGAGACGGCGGGCGCGCGACTCCCAAGGATTCTCAGAGTCACACCGCGCACCCTCGTGTGTTCCAGTTGATTCCGCTTGTTTGAATTCCGCGCTCTTCGCTCCGGTCATGGACGAATTCTCCTCGTCGCCTATACTACCGTTCGAATCGACGCAGCGCGGGTCGTCAACCGGCATGGCGGAACCGTGTTTGTGTGCCCGTTCCCCTCGCCAATGCTCCGGCGTCTGAACCGGAATGACAAACGTCCGCTTTCTAACAATCGATGACACGTCTGCATGTCGAGATTCCGTAATGGCCGCCGAATTGTGCAGCAGGCCGTTGACTCTGTGATTTCGCCTCGTGCGGTTGTTTACGTCTCCCCTGCACAGCGGCACTCTCGGGCGCTTGCGATGCGGACGTGTTGGTTCTGGCGTGTCTGGAATCATGCAGACATCATGTTCGACGACCTGTTGTTGTGAGCGTGTGCCTTCACAGTCCAGCTGCAGATCCTCATCTGAAAGAATAACCAATTAGAAGTAGTCATAAAACTCTATATAAAACTTCAGTCCTTTAGCCTTGTGATGATGCTACACACTGCCCAACCATGCAATTGCATACCCCAAAATGTAATTATGCACCTTTTGCACATGTCGCACACTGCAAAAATGAATTGGGGACAGCTCTTATACGCTGTGGCTATATGCCCGGCAGCTGGCACCCTAACCCTAACCCCTCCTGTTTACTTGAGAAATCACCAAAAATTAAAAACTGCCAGGCATTTAGGAAATCGAAGACTATGCCTGGCAGCCGTCGGATATTTGCCAAGTGTCGATTGCGAGTTCGTTCGCTCAGGGATCCGAAGCTAGGAGAATTGGGCTAGTTCGAATATACAGCTCTAACGAAAATCGCTTGACATTTCTAAACAAATGTAGAATACTTTGGATCACATAGTACACTGTTTACTTGAGAAATCACTGAAAATTAAAAACTGCCGGGCATTTAGGAAATCGAAGACCGTGCCCGGCTGCCGGGCATATAGCCACTTCGGCTCTTATATCCTTGAACCGGTTCAGTTGATGCTGTGTGCATGGAAACAGCTATGCTTATGGCAGTGTACACTGTCTTGAAGATATTGCATAAACAGTATTCTTTACCCCACAAAATGTGCGAACCCTCAAAGCCCAAGGGAAGGGCCTCGTCACAGCCTGTGCCCACACAAAACCCACACCAAATCCACCAAAAATCGTCGGGGTGGGCATTCGTCAGAGGCAACTCGGACTATGTAAGACCGTGTCTTCGAAGTTGAAGCTAGTTACTAGCCTAGATCACTGGCAGCAAGAACAAGCCCGCACGTACAGCACACACGTGGCCATTTACTATATTATAACAAACTTGTTATTATAGTCAATGGCCACGTGTGT